TTGTTGTTAGCCACCCAGAGTCCCCCGTTGTGGGGAGATGGGCGGGGACAAGTCTATTAAACAAACAAACAAATAAATAAATATTCAAATGTGAAGGAGGAAAAAAAGAGAAGATTGGCAAAGCAGCAGCTAAGGAGGCAAACTAATACCTTCTTGGAAGACAGTAACATTTGCTTTTATTTTTCCTTTCTTTCTTTAGCAAATTGCCTTCTGGGTTGGCAAGTGGCTGAATTTAACAAAAATTCATTGAGACACCTGGACACACAGAAAGAAAGAAAGAAAGAAAGAAAGAAAGAAAGAAAGAAAGAAAGAAAGAAAGAAAGAAAGAAAGAAAGAAAGAAAGAAAGAAAGAAAGAAAGAAAGAAAGAAAGAAAGAAAGAAAGAAAGAAAGAAAGAAAGAAAGAAAGAAGCTGGACTGGTTTGGGTAGCCAGAGATGCGAAGCAGAACTGTTTGGGCTTGTCTTTGCTTAGAGACTGTTGCAAAATTCCTTTGCGTCACATCAAAACTACCTCTTTTGCCACCATGCCTCTGCTTTTTAATTTTTTTTTTAACACACTACTTTCCAAACACACATTTTTTAAATAAAGATTTAGAGTCAATCACCGTGGATCTTGGCTGACTTCGCGTGTGGCACAAAACTCTAACGTGGTTGGTTTGATTTGAATCAGGTGGCCCCAGCCCGTTGTGGCTTATTTGATAAACCATAGTTAAGTATGCGGTGGCTTTGGGGGAGATGTGAACTCGATCACTGTGATGCCAGTTGCCAGCAAAGCCACATCGGCATAGGAAAGGAGGCTGGAGAGGAAAGTTTGCCAGTTTTTAAAAAGCTAGTGGCCTTGTGCCTCCCGTGATAGCTCCAATCTAATGTTTGGAAATTTGAATGATGAAACTTTCCTTTTTCCCTTTATGTCCATGCTGGGGATGGACGGACGGACGGACAGACAGACATCTAGGACTGCTGCATTGCCTCAAAATAAGGGCAGAGCTGTAGCGATGGAGATTTTGAGAATCCCCTGGTCCCATTCCAGATTTAGGCCGGAAAGGTGGATTCATGCACACACGTCTAGACCGCTCGGGGTCTAGATGTCCGGTCACACTTTGCCCAACGGGTTTAGGCGGGCAGCTGTCATTTTCAGATAGATAGTTCAAAAGGAGGATTTGGTGCCGTTGCCTTTCTGTCTCCTGCTCGGTTGGGATCCTCTGCCGCCAGCTGCTCCTTAGAGAAGGTTTCCATCTCCTGGTGTAACTCACTGAGGTCCTGGATCTCTAGGGCCAGGAGGTAGAGCCGATGAAAAAGCGCCAGGTCAGTCCTTCGCAGACTCAGCTGGGTGGCAAACAGAACAGCTTTTGTTATTTACCAAGGACCGTGACTATTTTTTTGAGCAATCTCAGGAAAGAACATTGCAAGCGTCTTGGGGCAGTGACTTGTCAATCTGTGTTTGGATAAAGAGGATGAGGATAAACGCAGAAAAACAGGAGGAGGGACATTTGGTGTGGTTGCTTTACCACTTCCTGCTTCATTTCAGTTTGGGACTAAAGCCAAGTGAAGTTTCTTGGAAGGGCTGACTTTCAGGAGGGATCTGAGGGAAGATAGGGCTGCATCTGTCATGCCTTGTGGGGCTACAGACACTTGCGTTGAGCAAGATTTCTCCCTACTGCAGGTGTGATGTGTAGCTACCTAGTTAGGGAGCCATTTTCTCCTCCTGCCCAACTGGAAAACTTGAAGGACCAGGTTTGGTACAGATCATCATGGAGAAAGTCCAACCGTATGGTCGCTAAGAGTGGGCACTGACTTGATGGCACGTCATCAGTCAAAGGACCTCTAGAAAATGACATCTTCCAAGGCCTTTTCTCCCCCAAGTAGCAAGTGGAGAACCTCACCATTTCATTCTGGACCCAGGAGATTTTTCCATGGAGGCTGGTGCAGTTCCCCTCCAGTGGCTTGGTCTCTTCCTGTTCTGCCACCCCAGGTAGAAGTTCCTGAGATGGATGGGCCCCCCAAAACACTTTAGGTAAGGGGGGCAGCCCTTTGAAGGGAGGTTCCTCTTCTTCCCTGGTCCAGGTGTCCATTGAGATGGTTTCGGTTCCTCTTTCGAAGCAACCTGGGAAAAAATGGCAGGGTTAGTTCATCATTTGGAAGAACTTTTCTCCTCTGTAGGAGGATCACCGCACGGATAGTCAAGAGAATCTTTTCTATCCCAAGCAAAGCCCTTCTGTTGACTCCTGATGGCCTGGGGGAATCTTCACTCATTCCTACATTATTTCTCATCATGTGGGAAAGATCTGCCGTCGTACAAGCGCATGAGCTTTTGCTGACGAAGCCATTCTGAGTCCCCCGACTTGTGATCACTCGGTTCAGCTCTTTGAGGACAAGACAGAGAAGAAACTAAGCCATCTTGTTAGGTGATCAGATTCTGACAAGCACCAAGCAGATGATGACCTGTGTTGGCATTATAATAATAAACCACTCTGGTCTCTGCAGTCCAGCTGAGTTGGAATTCAACGCCTGCCAATGAAAGTTTGGCATATTTGGACTATAAAAGCACCAGGTTGAAAAAGGTTTTGAAAGAAACAGTCCTGCCATTGCCTTCAACGCAAACCAAGTGACTGTATAGGCTATTTTGTGTTCATTGTTCACTGGGTGGCTCTTGGAATTTGGTGCCTTAAATGCAAACAAAGCTGTTGTATATCTTACAGAAGTTCAGTTGTTGAGTAACAGGGTAGTGAGAGTTCATAATTCACTTATGAAGTATGCCCTTTATTTACTGGCAGGCGCTAATAAGTCCGAAACATGGAGCACCATGGCATAAGCAGAATATGGCACGGTTGAGGCTTTTTACAAGAAGAGGAAAGCTTGCATGAATGCCAGATCAACCAACCTTGGATGAAAAAGCTAAGTAGGGCCAGGGCTGAAGGCTGGAGAGGGAAGTTGAAAAAACGTCCTGGAAGAAGGCTACACAGATAGCCCTCAGCTTATGATCACAATTGGGACCAGAACTTCCATTGCTAAGCAATGTAGTCATTAAGTGAGTCCCACCCAATTTTACGACTGTTTTTGCCGTAGTCGTTAAGTGAATCTGGCTTCCCCCATTGACTTTGCTTGTCAGGAGCCCCCTGGGAAGGTCGCACATGGCGATCATGTGACCACAGGATGCTGCAACCATCATAAATTCATGCCAGTTGCCAACTGCCTGAATTTTGATCATGGGACTGTGGGGATGCTGCGATGGTTGTAAGTGTGAGGACCGGTGGTAAGTCACTTTTTTCAGCACTGTCGTAACTTCAAATGGTCATTAAATGAATGGTCGTAAGTCGAGGACTACCTTACTGAATTTCCTTCCCTAATAGATTTTGTTCCAGTGCCAAAAAAAACACCCCAGAGAGACAGAAATAGCTGTGGAAAAAACAAATGTTTATGTTTAAAAATGTGTTTTCCCACCCTTTCTCATAAACCCCCCCCAACAGAAACCAATTTTTGAAGAAGTGTAAATTAGTACGTTTTTGAAGGAAAGCGTGGGTTGCTAACATTGCAGTGATTTGTGTGTTCTTTCTGCCCAGCGTTTTTAGAACTCACATCATGCTATAGCCCTTTCTCAGCTTGTTACTATTATAATTATGACTTGTTGATAATCAGAGGTTTGTTGCTTATTTCAGTTAATTGAAGGCACAAAACAAAGGTGATGACTGCAAAAACATGTGCACACACACACGATGCCTATCATGGTAGCGGATGTACATACAGTCCTACAACAGGTCCACCTGCCTAAAAGGCCACTCCCTTGGACCTTTAATGATGGGGTTGGTAAGACCACCTAAGCAACTTAGAAGAAACTCAGTCGCTGAAATGAGGCAGAAGGGAAGCACCGAGGCCCCACCTACACCAGCGAGATTGCCTTATTCTTCGGTCCTTCTCATAAAAATCTGACTACTTGCCGATGAGAAAAAGCAGGAAACTGGAGGAAACAGGAAAGGAAACAATGGTAAGACAAGCTGGGAGTGAAGGCCCTGTAAAAACAGTGGCCAAAGGATCGTGATTCCACATGAAATTCCTAGGGTGGAAGCGATGTCTGAATAGCCGAGCTGCAGGGGCCTGTGGATTGACGCACACCCCCCCCCCCCCCCAATAAAGACTGAGGCTCCAATTGCGCCGTTGTGACCGGCATCTCGCCTTTTTTGTCCACGCCCTTGCTGCCGAGGTTTCTTTTCAGGAGGAAAGTCAAGCTGTTCTGCCAAGTTTGCGGAGCAGGATTTCCTGCAGTGTCCAGGACTGCCTGCTCCATCAGAACTTACCTTCCCAGCTCCGATTCTTTGCAATTTTCTCCCCCCTTAGCACATCCCCATTGAGTTCCTCAGGATGGGACGTCCAACTATTTTCACTGTCAAAGAACAGAGTGAGCAGGCAGGTTGCAAAAAATGGCAGGCAGGTTTTTTCCTTTTTCTTTTTTTTGTAGGATGGGCGATGGCCCTGTTTCCCCTTTAGTTAGCTCTGCTGCAGATGACTCTGTAGGAAAGGACAGCCTGCTTCATGGGGTCCAAGAGAGCTGGGAGTGGAAGGGATGGGCAATGATACCTGAGCAGGTAACTACGCATAGCAGCCTCCCCAACTCACCTTTCCGTGAACCCTGGAGGTGGTTTACTGGCTTGTCTTGCGCTGTTAGCCGGAGAAAATGCCTCTGCAAGTTTCGAAGGTCCACACCTCACTCGGTGGCTGCCAGCAGGGCAGTTAGTTCAAAGTCCAGAGAGGTGCCCGGGGAACAGGGCGCTGCTTTGGTCTTGCTTCCTCTCCAGAGAGCAGGGTCTGCCCAGGTTGCCGGACGGAGGAACGGCAGTACCAAGCGGTACGACTCTCGTATTGTGCAAGAAGAGAAAGGCATCTGATGCGATAGACGGGCAGTCAGTCGAAGAAGTGGAAGGAGGAAGTTATGAATCACGCAGCAAAAGACTGGTTGAAAGGAATGCAGGCTGCCACCGAATGCCATGGTGCCCATGAAGGGGTGGTTTTATCTGCGTGGAGGGCAAGAGCTAGAAAGGTGCAGTTACAGATTATTGGGTGAATATCTGTAACTGCCCATCTCACATACGTGACTCTCTGGGTGGCGTACCAAGTTGAAGACACAAATCCAATTCAGAATAACCCAAAACACACCCGCAACATGATTAAAAATATTAAAAGCAATAAAAAACATTCAAATCCTAACAAACATAATCTGCGGGGGAGGGCACTCCATTTCCCTGGCGATATAACACTTTGCAGGCTCCGTACCTCCGGTACAGGCAGTCCTCTACTTACGGACAGGTTACGTTCCAAGCGGCTGTTTGTAAGTCCATTTTGTCCGTCAGTCCAACCAAGTATAAAAAAAAATGCCTCCCAACATCCAACGGTGCTGCCGAGCATATGTATGCGGCACACCATAAACTAACCCTTTCCTGCCATCTCCCACCTTTTGGGACCTTCTAGGTTGGAGTTTAGGACAGGTTTGTTCATATTGGTGAAAGTTTGTAACTTTAAAGTTCGTAAGTAGAGGACTGTCTGTACTGGATCCCCAGGCCAGATGGCAAAGCTGTTCCAGAAGGCCAATCTGACTTCGGGGGAATGATGTTCCAGAGCAGTGTTTCTGAACCTCAGCAACGTTAAGATGTGTGGACTTCAACTCCCAGAATTCCCCAACCAGCATGAGGTCCAGAGGGCAGGTGCCGTGGCAGAAAAGATCGCACCAGTCAAGTGTATTCTTCAGCCAACCATGGATGATGCTCCATTCTGTATTCCAGGTCCATGTTTATCCGATTTTCCTCCGTTTCCACCTACTTACCAAATGGCAAGTGTTCTCTGCAGGCTGGTCCTCCAATTCCTACTGGGCGAGGACGGTGCTGTTTTGGCTGCCCAAGCACCCGTCCTTGCCTCTGAACCTGAGCAATAGAAGGACATTTAGACAGGATCTCCTCTATGAAGGCACCTTCTCCAAGAAGGTGCTAGAAATTCACAAACAAGGGAGGAGATCGGATGCATATCCTGCTTCTAAGCTTCTCAACAATAATTTGTTTAGTTACTGAGTGCTGCCTCAATGATCTTTTGGTTGATTTGGAGATTAAGAGCTTATTTATCAGTCCTATGAGAAAAGGTGATTCTTGCGGTACCAACTGCCCAGAGTCATTTTTTCATGAGATGGGCAGTATCTAAATTTGATAGATAGATAGATAGATAGATAGATAGATAGATAGATAGATAGCTAGCTAGCTAGCTAGGCAAGGAAGTAAATGGCCAATGATAATAATAAAAAAAATCACACACACAGAGAGGAATAATAATAATAATTCACACCAGGAATAATAATAATAATTCACACCAGGAATAATAATAATAATTCACACCAGGAATAATAATAATAATTCACACCAGGAATAATAATAATAATTCACACCAGGAATAATAATAATAATTCACACCAGGAATAATAATAATAATTCACACCAGGAATAATAATAATAATTCACACCAGGAATAATAATAATAATTCACACCAGGAATAATAATAATAATTCACACCAGGAATAATAATAATAATTCACACCAGGAATAATAATAATAATTCACACCAGGAATAATAATAATAATTCACACCAGGAATAATAATAATAATTCACACCAGGAATAATAATAATAATTCACACCAGGAATAATAATAATAATTCACACCAGGAATAATAATAATAATTAGTTTAATTAAAATAATAATAATAATAATAATAATAATAATGCATTCCTGGTGTGAATTTAATGTGTGGTTTTGCCTCTGAGATGCGTAGAATGCCTTTCTTTTGGGAGACCCACTAGCTCATACAATGACCCAAATAAAACAATACCTCTGACCATGTGCAGAATGTTTTTCTTCCATGGAAAACAACTTTGAAAACCCTTGAACTAGTGCAGAACGTCCCAAGACATCAACCCTGCTGAATTTACATGGTGATAAACCTTTTACTGTTAGTTTTTTTTTTTATTGCCGCTCTTACGTGATAAGACGATGCAATTGATCCTCGCGACTTCTTCCCATTATCGAGGGCTGCCTTGCATTTCAAATACTATTCTGTAAGAGGCGCTGATGCCAAGTAAGGGCAAGGCATGGGCGGGAGGGGTTTCACCTGCCACTACGGAGCATGCTCAAGAGTCGGCACATGCGCAATCGCAGCCGGTCAAACAGGGTCCTTTTGACCGCCTTGAGACGACGGGGGTCACGTGACACGCTAAAGATGGCGGCGCCGGGACTGGTGAGTAGCTTCTTGTGGGATTTTCTGCTTTTCGAGGCGAACCGATTTCAGGGCAAGTAATCCGAATTTGAACTCAGTTCTCGGCCGTCAGAGAACGGAAAGGGGGGGAGAGAGAGCATTTATAGCTAGGCAGTCGTTATTTATTTACTCAGATTGATTTTTTTTTTACATGATGTGGGGAAGGCAAAGGGCTTTTATCCCTAAATTAGTCGGTTTTTCATTAAGCGAAATGGAGGTTTTGGGTGTCAGCTTTTCCTTTAGCTCCCCTCCCACCTCCTCCACAGATATCAAGCCGCCGGCCCTTTTCCTGAGTGTTTATGTGAGTATTAGATTTTTATCCCGTTATCTCATTCATAACTATATAAATCATAGATATAATGATGTTTTTCCCCACAACAACAACCCTGTGAGGTGGGTTGGGCTGAGAGAGAGTGGGACTGGCCCAAAGTCCCCCAAGCCAAGAAGAGCTTTGTTTCTTGCTTGAATTCCCTCTGTAATCTCCACCTGCAGCATTGAAATCCGGGAAATGAGGTTTTCCCTAGAGATAGAGGGCCCGAAGGAAACGTTTCCTTAATTTCCTTTGGGCTTCTGTCAAAGGGAGCTGGCAGGGGAGGCCCTGGGTCTTCTGAATGAGCTTGATGCATTTAGGGTAGCTACAAAGCCACCCCTTCCTTTCTGTCAGAGCGGCTCTGCTTTAGCGGCTGGGCTTAAAGCAGTGTTGTCCAAACTTGGCCACTTTAAGATGAGTGGCCTTCACCCCCCAGAATCCCCCAGCCAGCATGGCTGGCTGGGGAATTCTGGGAGTTGAAGTCCACTCATCTTAAAGTGGCCAAGTTTGGACAACACTGGCTTAAAGAGACCTTAAATGGCACCCGCTGCCCCTTAATTCTTCAGCTGACTTTGTACCAGACATTCCTCAGTTAAAGAATATCTGTAGCTCAGGGCTGAGCTGCTGGGTTCTTGGCGTTCTCTGAGCTTGGTGGTTTCCTTGCAAAAGTTTCACCACCAGGCTTGCCATGCGTGGGTATGCACGGCTGTGGCCATGCCCCTTGGGGCATGGGCACACACTGATGATGTTACCTAGCCTGGTAATGGAACATCTTCAAGGAAACAGCCAAGCTTAAAGAACAGCAAGAACCCAACAATCAATGGGATGGCTAGCTCCATAGAGGCCTGCTGTCTTCAGCTCCAGATTCTTCATCTTCTTGGACCCTCCTTTGCTTTTTTTAGTAATGTTTTTAAATTGATGTTTTATGTATTTATATATATTTATGGTTTTGATGTTTTGTGTGAGTCGCCCAGAGTCCCCCATTGGAGGGAGATGGACGGGGGAGACATTTAATAAATAAATAGTAAATAAATAAATAAAATCTCTCTCTCTCTCTCTCTCTCTCTCTCTCACACACACACACACACTTTTTTGAATGATCCAAATTCTCTGTTCCCCAGAAAAGGAACTCTTCCATTGAAGCTGAGGCTTGTGATAAATGCTCCCTCCCCTCACCCCTGGGCCAACAGCATTTTCAGAAAAATGGGGATTCTTATGAGGATCGTGATGAATAGCAGAATTTACATTTCAAGTGAAAAGCAATAAAGGGCAGCCATGATGCTGATGCAAATAGTTTGATCTTTAACCCTTGTGGACATTTGATTCTAAGGTCCAGTGCAAATTATCTGCACAACGATTTTAAAAAAAAATTGCCCTAAAGTTCAGGCCTTTGCACCAACACACACATTGACGCAGGATAGAAAAATGATTCACCAATTTTCAGCTGGAAGTTCTCTTCAGCTGAGCCGTTCTTGTTCTCTGCCCTACATTTAAGTATTTGGCACAGGATTGAGCTGTTGGGTTCTTGGTGTTCTCTGAGCTTGGCCTGAGTACTGATGGTGTTATCTAGCCTGGTAAGGAGATGTCTGCAAGAAATGTGGAGCTTGGTAATGCCAAATTATTTATGATAGGCATCCCATTCTGGAAGTTGAACTGTCAAGCCTATAAACCACCACCAAACTCCATTCTTCCACACAATGATGATGTTACCAGCATGATAATGAAAAGTCTGCTGGAAAACAACCGAGTTCAGAGAGTACCAACACCTATAAGTGTCAAAGTACAGAAACCCTACCGAGAAGGGACTGACAACAGCATATGCTCCTTACTCTTTCGGTCTTGAGCTTCTGCACAAACATGATCCATGTGCCTGGTAATCATTAAAATGTTCAGAACATGGTTGCTTGTGATAACTATTGATAAAATATTGTCAATTGCGGGACAAAATCTTGCAAGGTGGTGAATTTTTGAAAACCATGCAGGGAGCCAAGAGCTCTAGAACAGGGTTTCTCAACCTTGGCAGC